ACTGACATTTTTAGAGCGCACTATAGACTGAAGTTTGCTGTTTCTGTTGTTGGGTATTCCATCTTGTTATTATCAGAGTATATATATATATATATATATATATATATATATATATATATATATATATATATATATATATGTAGTTTGGCGAAGCGCCCATCAAACCAGTACAATTGTGTTGTTGCTTTTCTGTGTGCATGCTGAGTGAATTCGTTTTTAGCGGAAGGTAATATAACTTAACCATATGCTATAGCCATAGTTAAGAATATATATATATATGTATATATATATATATATATATATATATATATATATCCAACCCTTTATTTAAGCTTAGTCTTCCTGTCTCTATTAAATTCACTGTGCATCATGGCGCTAGTTCATGGTTCCGTTGTTAGTTAACCACATATATGCCACGCAAAATATCCTGAATTATTATCCCTGTCATTGGAGCCAAGCATTGCCTTATTTCAGTTCAGTGCCCTCTTTAAGGATTTTTTCTATTATTGTCACACGGCCTGCGATCTTCCCTGGCACTTTCAGAAACAGATAGCTGCTGCTGCCTAATCACGTGACAAAATATATAGAGGATCGCGCTTCCTCTTGCAAAATACCCGCAGAAGTTGGTTCCTATCAGGTCCTTCCTCTGTCAGCCTCCAGATGGTATCCTTGAGATAGCGTCCATGACTAGAAATTTCTCCGAAAGTCCGCCTGCCAAGAGAAATTATCCCTTAATGTAAGATAACATATGGCAATATATTGCGCGCATTCTCGAATCTCTGGAGGCAATTCTGGCATGACTCCAGCTTGCTTTGGTTATGTATGTGCGCTGTGTCTTCTCTTTCGCCTTATGTTTATATTCTAAGGGTACTAGCAAAATATGTATTATTTTGTAGTGCATCTTGAGGATCAGTCCAGATACGTATGAGAAGAAAGAATTTATAGTACAACGGAGACGCCTTCAACTTTCCCTTTCCTGCTTGATATGCATAAGGAATAAATAATCTGTAAAGCGTTATTTTTCTGCGCATATATATGTTCCCCTTGGATGATATTCACAGAATCTCCTTTCCTAAAACCCTTGGCGTGGTGTAAATACCAGACAGGGGGTCTTTCAACGAAATGATGATGGCACTTTCAGTCCTTTGTTCAGATTCGAAATACTTATATACACAAGCTCAAAAGTACCACCAATGAGGGTGATGTGGGGTGCGGCTGGCGCCCATAACAACGGTCATATTTTTGATGCTTCTTTGTTTGGCTCAGCAGGTACGTCCAACGTGCGCGAACCTTCTGTCATGGGGTGCCACGTCTTCGCCCAAAATTGTCCTTGTCGTTGACTGAGTGCACATGCAACTACTTATTTTAAGTTCTTTAAGTTAATTATAGACGATTTCATAAAAGGAGTTCCGTTGAAACAAACTTCGCCTGAAGACTAGTATGTCATTTATGAAATCTATGATTAATGGCGGCTGTAGGTTGCGCAAGATCATTGTCCTCAGAGAATGTGACGCAGATCATGGCCAGTATGCCCTACGTGAGCTAGGCCTATAAGATCTGGTAATCCCATAACCTTGTCGACTCAAGAGACCTTTAATCACTGGTAATTTCGACACAAGATTACATCAACAGAAATTTACATATCGCTTCTAGTTTGAAACAAACAATATTCTAGTTACTTTTTCGGTCGCTGATATCTCTTCTTACATACATATGATGTAACACAGCTTTAAGTTACAATAATTCTGTTGAAAGTAGATAAAATTAACAGTGGTAAAAATAATGTTTTCACAATACCGTCGTTTTCGCAGTGAAAAATAATCTGCTGCTCTCTTAAAGACCTGTTCAAAAGATGAAAGGTAATTATTTATATAATAATAATTATTATGATGTTACTTTTGAAAGCAAAACATTTTAAACCAAGCCCTTTACTCTCCAAACTACTCTTACAGACGCGAATATTAATATCTGTTACAGAAATGCAATGGCAGGGAATGAAAAGCAGAGAAGAATTTCTGCCGATGACTAGTTTTGCTCAGTTAACAAAAGTGTCATTATAGTTACGCAATCTTCATCCCGCGCAAACTGGATTCATGAACAGGACAGTGGAGAGAGGAAAGACTTGAATAGTAAGGCCAGGGTCGATGGGAAGGTCTGCAGTAAATGCTTTTAGAGGAGGACTTTCGACCTTTTCTGTCAGGGGAAGAGCGTGATGGGGACCTTCCTGCTTATGTATTTGTAGCCATGAACTTATTCAGTACGGAGGGACAAGCTTCCCTCCTAACCCTCAGAAACTGGATACTTGGGTATGAGTGCATGTGAGATCCTGCGTGCTGCGGGATACTGGTAGTTCCTGTCGTATTGATCCAGAGATCGACAGCGCTTTTACATGAACCCAGAAAAGGAAATGCCGAAACGGAAAGACTCATTACATGTCAATATATTCAAGATTCATAATGTATTAAACTATCTTTCCACTCAAAAAAAAAAAAAAAAAAATCTTTAGTAGTACAAAATCGATATTACTTTCAAATACAACCAATTTCCCAAACCCGACACCCATCTGTCAAAGCTACATACAATGGCAACATCCGAAACTACTGTCTCAATTTCCACACGAGAATTTACATCGAAGTTAACCACACGGTAACAGGAATGGGCAATTAGAAGCGAGGGTCTTTGTATCGAGGTCTCTACCAACTACGCAGTAAGGTTGGCGAGCGAACGATGCAGCAGCTCGCTCCCTCTGCTTCCCCTCTTTTGACACAAACCTGGCTAAAATTTGCAGTTTATAAGATTCTTCGTCTAAAGGAGATATTAGTATATGACCGATGACTGATTCAACTTTTTGTTTTGTTTTGTTTTAATTATTGCCATAGAAATGCAGTTGATTTTTTTTAAAGCACTACCAAAGTTGTTTTGTTGTTTTATGATTATTACCATATGTTTATGTTTGGTGAGATTCTGGAAGGCTGGCTGTCGTGTTATAATTTTCATTGTCTTACATTTCCAGTATTTAATTTCGTAATATTCTATTATCCTTAATATCCTTATTGCTTATCATTTTATTAGTATCAATCAATCACTATGGTCATTCATTTCCATAGTAGTTACCACTTTAATCATTATCGCCATTGTCCTCATAGTTATTATCGTTTATGTTATCATATTCACTATCATTGTCTCTGTCCTTGTCAAAGACGATTTCGTGTGTAAGACGCGGCTACAGACACGCACTGGGACAGGGTTGTTGCCAGGCCAGAGTATCTCCCGCTGTTGTTCTACTGATTTCATACCCCCAGGCTCGTTTCCATTCATGAGACCAAAGGTTGGACCTGAGTATTTCTCTCTCTCTCTCTCTCTCTCTCTCTCTCTCTCTCTCTCTCTCTCTCTCTCTCTCTCTCTCTCTCTCTCTCTCTCTCTCTCTCTCTCTCTCTCTCTCTGGATAAATTATGCTATCTCATACTTTTGAGATGTAACCGCGTGTCATAAGAAACAAAATCAGTCAAGAATCTCTCTCTCTCTCTCTCTCTCTCTCTCTCTCTCTCTCTCTCTCTCTCTCTCTCTCTCTCTCTCTCTCTCTCTCTCTCTCTCTCTCTCTCTCTCTCTCTCCACCCATCTATCCATTTTCTCCCTATAATAATACTCTGACCGTAAACTAGTTTGTAACTTGAATAAAGCATATTACTTTATTGTGTATATTACAGTGCAGCCTACACTTTACCACTAGGTCTCCACACCAACATAAGTAAGAACTGTCAACTCATCATTGTTAGGCAACTATGAATCATGATTCACTGGGATGCCCAGAGCAAGAGCAGAAGGTCGTCGTAATAGAAGAAAATCTAGGAAAAGGAAGGACAATCTCTAGGCCGGATTTACACATCAGCAAAAAAAATATGTAGTTTAGGGCCTCTTCGAGAGGTCTCAAGTTTTGATGTTCTTTCAGAATCTATTGTATATTCCATTCATATACGCAATTTCTTTGTTTATGGTACTGAGTAAACGACTAATATTTTCATCTTTTACAAGATCTTTATTTTCACACTTTCCAAGAGCCCCTAAGCCTCATGTAGCTTAGGGTCTCGCCAAGTCTAAATCCGGCCCTGGCAATACAAATCCGAAACAAAGGATTTTCTTATTGAGGATACAAGGTCATAGGATAAAGAAATGGGTTTGGCACTGTAGGAGGTGGGTATCTTTACTAACTACAAACCAAGGACTCATGAACAAACCTATTTACAAAGTTCCTTCGTTAGGATTGAGGTCAGGGAACAAAGATCGGATATGCCTTGGGGTCTGAAAATATTTGTTTTTCAGGGGAGACTTCACTTTTCTGAATAGGGATATATTTGAAATAGAGTGTGAATGATCTTACATGTATGTAACTTCTCAGAACAAATCCAAAATGGGTAAAATACAATCCCATGTAGGTACTCGTGTCTCAGGTTAAAAACAATTATACAAGGTATATAAGCTGTGAATGAACGTGAACTTTTTAGGCATAAACAATGAAGCAGTTACACAAAATTATATTTTGTAAAGGCAGTCGCCTTGACAGGCTTTGAATAGCATTAAATATTTATTTGCCTATATTCACGTGAAATGTTTGCATATCACGTGCATAGAGCCTGAATAACGTGGAAGTGCCCGTGTGCGCAACCCGAGGAGCTGTGAGTGCAGCGCGACGCCTCACCGTGGTGGCCTGGCAGCCTGAGCCAGGCAGAGGGTCCCAGACGCGGCCGCCTCTTCAGTACATCTCGTCCATCGTTCGAGAAAAGCTATCGCGCATTCAGTGTAGTGCCGTAGCTATCCCGACGATCCATCTTCCCTAAGTTTATTATCACTGTCTCACTTATCTCTGTTTCACGATCGCTGACCTGACCTTATCAGCCACATCTGAGCACCGTAAGTCAGACGCTGATTAGAGAGACTCCCTGACGTCCACCAAAGCAGGACCAGCCCTTCAAGAGTAAAAAGACCACGAAGTACCCCTCTTCTGTCAACACTCGAGAACCGCTCCAAAGGAACCACCATGGCACGCTTTCTTCTGGCTACTGTGGTCATCCTTGGTAAGTCATTTAAATTTCCCAAGTTTGCCTTTCCTGGACTTTCATTTCTACTTAGCTGATTTTACTTTCGGATCTCATATTGATTAAATGTTTATTGGAATATCCAGTGAGCCTTGTAAATCAGAAGATTTTTGATTAGTGGAGAGAGAGTGAGTGAGTGAGTGAGTTTACTTTGCGAGGATCTGAAGAACAATATTAAAGGGTTCTCCACAGAGTGCGGGTTGTGGGTAGTTGGACATCCCTGTAATGGCACCTCCTTGCAAGGTGAGGCTGTGTGCTGCCCAACCCCTTCAGACCTTGTTGTTGCACGCCAGTTGTTTAGACTTTTTTTCAAACTCTTGGTGAATACATGGGAAATCTGGTTAATTATTGTAGCCATCCACTGTGTCCTAATGATTAAAAGTCTGCGGAATTAACACGCCACTCATGGGCCAATCCATTTCGGATTACTTGATATTTCATTTATACTCCTCATGTTTTTATCCCTCCCTCCCCTTTCAAATTAACAAGTGAAATAGAAACTAATAATACTTTAGACCTATGTCACAACAGGCTCCGAAACTAATTATTTGACATGTTACTCATTCTTGGCGTAGTCTTGACATCACGTGTGAATTCTATTATGTGCATTACTAACATAAGCGGTAATGAAAGTCTTTACTTACAGTATTATCTCATTTAGATTTTTAGTAATTATGGTGAATAGGACTCATAATTTTTTAGTGATGATGAAATATGTACGGTAGACCAGTAATTTCAATAGTAATATACATGTGGATAACTTAAAGAAATTTACGTTCGAAGTCTCGAGCTATGAAATGTAGTTTGTACACGGCATAGCAACGGGTATTTATGTTTGATCTATATATAAAGAACTCCTTTTAAAATCGGCAGGTAATAGAAATGTAAGGATAGAAATGGTATATTTCTTATGCATTTTTCTTTTTTTTTTCCCCGCAGGCTGTGTTGCAAATTTGGAAGCCAGCTTTAATTGCATCGGCACCAACGGAGACGCAACGGGTAAGATAAGATGTTCACTTCATGTTCGTAAGATTTTTAAAAATTATTATGGTTCAGTCAGTAATGTCTTTTTTTAAGTTAATCATCTGTCGTCACACTATTTTGAGGCATTACCTAGATTTTGTTTTGATCTTAGTTTTCCCTTTGCGCATTTCTTTGCTTTATTGCAATCCTTCCATAGTATTTTCTCCTCCTTAGGTTTCCCCAAAGAGGTGTGCTACACGGAGAAGTGCACCAAAGCTATCAAAGATCATATCAAGTTTGAGTTTGAAGCTGCCTTCTTATACATGCATATGGTAAGTTTACAGACAAAAAAAAAAAAATCACAGACAGTTCTGTTCATTAGAATAATTGGTATAATGTACCGATCACAGAAATATATTCCATAAAAAGTTTTACAAACTACTCCCAGGAAAGAAAGTTATTATAGTTGATACATATTGTAGTAATGTGAATGCAACCATTGTGATAACTATGAGGTTGCCCTAATTAGGAAGCGTACGGCCGGCTTATCGATATCGATTGGTCGTCATACCCAGTCTGTGACACAGACCTATGTTGCAGGGAGCCTACTTTGCCCAGGACACCGTAGCCAGACCTGGCATGACCAAGTTTATGCTAGAATCCGCATCGGAGGAGAGGAGCCATGCTATCCTTATGCTCGACTATCTCAACAAGCGAGGTGTCGCTATCTCACAGGATCTCCAATTCAACTTCAGTGAAGCAGATGTAAGATCAGATGAGGCCATTGTTAAGAAGAAACGTTGAGTGTGGTGATTTCAATTCATACTTGCCCTGATGGGGAAAAAGTTGGGGGTGGTAATATGAATGTAATTGTATTGGAAATAACATGATGGTCTTTCTTCAGATCTGAACATAAAAAAGCTCTTACCATGCTTGTGGCACTCGAAGCGGCTCTCAAAATGGAGATCAGTGTAAGAAATCTTGCTTAAATTGCATTATGATTGATATATCCGATGTGGTGATTTTAAAGACCTTTTTCCCCAATGGAAATGTCAGTGGTCATATGTAGTTGCACCTTTTAATTGCCAGATTTAGTTAATGTCCTTTAAATACACGTCACTTTCATGAAGACATTTTTACAGGTTACAAACAAGATTCACAACGTCGTGAAGGAATGCGAGCACGACTACCACGGGGCCGACGTGTTCACCAACCCCATCTTGGACGAGCAGCACGAAGGCATCCGCACTTCAGGGCGCGTCCAGGAATACAAAAACCTGGTACATGGCCACAGCGAGAGCGTTGCCATGGTGGACTTCATCTTCGACCAAAAGATATTGAAGGAATCCCTCTAAGTTACCACTCCTCCCGAGTTCTAGAGAGGCGGGCTAGCAGAGTAACAAGCATCAACGATTTTTAGAGTGCCATTTCAGTTGTAGTCTGTGCTTTTTTCACACCCCGTAAATCATTTCGAGCAAAATGAAACCACGGCTGTTAGCAAGGAGGGCTACTGAGCAAGATATTTCTCCTGCTGTATAACCTCTTACATGCTGATCCTCCGACTTTTTTTTCCAGTGTTCATTTTTTTCAAGAATTTGTGGTTACATGTATGTACATTATATATATATATATATATATATATATATATATATATATATATATATATATATATATATATATATATATATATATATATATATATATATATATATAGTTTTTATTTATACACCTATATGATTGATATATTTTTTAAGCAGCATTACCTTATGAGATTATTGAATGCAGTGTACTATTAAGGTTCACAGATAATATGTAATGAATACTCAGTGCACATTCATTAAAAACACTCTAGTTTATTCAATTTATTTTTATTCCTCCTGTGTGGTTGTGAACTTAGTGTAAGTGTGAGCGCATGTAGCTAAAGATACGAATATATAAATCATGTATGTATGTATTTATATACATAGACTTTATGTATGTTAGTTTATACATATATACATATAATGATTATAAATTTCCATATGCATAAGGGGCGCTGAAGGGGCCTGCGATGTTTGTTTATGAACATTTTTGTAAGAACAAAACAACAATGCTAACCTCACGAAAGTACGATAGATTTTCTCTCCATTATCACAGTTTGATTTTGATTCTAATGTTATACATGGATGATAAATAAAACGAACTACGCAAAGTTTTTAAAAGTAACCCCAGAAGAGGGCGACATTTCAAGCTTTTACACCCATTGCTATTCTGAACACGCCACTATATATCTATATATCTATATCTATCTATATATATATATATATATATATATATATATATATATTATGTGTGTGTGTGTGTGTGTGTGTGTGTGTGTGTGTGTGTGTGTGTGTGTGTGTGGGATTCATATGGGTATACAGTGCTAAAAAAAACTGACACGGAAGGTTATGAATAATAAGGCATTAATTATCAACTGGCACACACTGCTCAAAAGGTTTCCGACACCTTTATGTACAGTACACATATACATGTGCATAGTCATATATATATATATATATTTTTTCTATATATGTGCGTGTGTGTGTATGTACACACACATACATACATACATATATATATATATATATATATATATATATTATATATATATTATATTCATATATTTATTTATATTTATATATATAATATATATACACATAATATACATCAGACACACACACACATACATACATATATATATATATATATAATATATATATATATATATATATATATATATATATATATATATATATATATATATATATATATATATGTATATATATATATATATATATATATATATATTATATATTATGCATATACATATATGCATATACTGTACATATGTATACACGTGTGCATGTGTTTGTTTTACACCTTATATATAATGGGTGCAAGAATCACATTTTTGTCAACGTCCCATATATGTATGCGTCTGCACATACAAATAGAAGTATAAGACTATACATATACATGTACGTAATCATCGTCGCCTATAATAGTTGGTAACTTAGGACCTAAGCCCACACCATCAGCATTATTCATTGCAAATGTTAAACATTAGTTTTTTTCTTGGTCTCTTTTTGGATATATATATATATATATATATATTATATATATATATATATATATATATATATATATATTTTTTTTTTTTTTTTTTTTTTTTTTTTTTTTTTTTTTTTTTTTTGCAAGTGTTATTACTGAACCGTTTTCAAAGAAAATTCATATATCCTTAAACAGATTGAGCACTTTCTCTGGAAACAGATGTGCACCAGAGGCGTATTTACACACAAGTTCCGGAGAATGCTATGGAAAGGCGACAGTATTACTTAATATACCCAAACTTTAGGTAGCTGTAACAATGTCTCAGAGAAGATTGCTCTGTGTGAGCCATTAGCTCATGCTCAGCCAATCCAAGATTAGTCCTAAGAGATTTCCCACAATCCTGTCTCAATAGGGTTCTTCCTCCAGGAGACGGATCTAACGAGATAACGCTCCCTGGGAGAGGAATTAAGGTAGACTCACTGACTCTAGACTCCGCATTTGCATTTCTCGAACGTAACATTACAGTAAAGGAATGGCCCACTAAACGTTTATTAATTTAATGAAAGGGGCCACAGCTTTTACATATCATTATTGATGTGTTGAAGTAACATTGCATTATTTTTGTCATACAAACCTCATGTGCATTAAAAATCTCCAGACTTTTTCTAAAACTTCGGGCTCGTCACATACAAAACTTGGGTGTGAAATATTTTTGAGAGGAATCCAAAAATTACGTAGGTCGAGACTTTTACTATAATAGACTTTGAGCTTCCATTAATTCCTGGCGAAGGTACTGTGATTGTCCAAGTGACTGTTGTGCCTGGTTATAAAATTAGTCAATGGTCTTGTCAGGAAGAGGAGCCCCACTGGCACAGGTCAGTCGGTCAAAGCAATCAAAGATGTGGAAGTTGGATCCCAGGGGCCAGAGCCAAAAGGCCTTGGGGGTTCCCGTTAATGCAGGGAATGTTATAATTTTCCAGAGGCGAAGGCCCTTGATAGAAATGCAATTTTAGTGCAGTTGAAGACATTTTGAATTATTCTCATGCATTCCTTTGAAACCGCTCTGGATTCTTGCCGACATGGAAAGATGTGGTTCATGACCTTGGTTCCCAGTAGTCAGCGATGCGGACGCAGGGTCAAATTTCTTTTAACGCACATGCTACGAGACTCTTCCCTTTAGTGAATTATATTTCCATCGTCAGGGCCCATTTTCTCGGCACTCATGAGCCCTCCCCGAAATGCACAAAAGTTACAGTAATTGAATCCAAACCTACCTCTGGTCGGAGTAGCAACTTTGAAGAATTTCTGTAATATGCATAAACCCAAAATGGCCGCTAACGAAAGGTTATCAAAAGTATATCGCCAATATTTTTAAAACAAATCGTTCATGTAGTGATTCCCAAACTAGGGGCAATTAAATCGTCTCTGAAGTTAACTAAAAATAACGAATCTGAATATATAAACGAATAAGTAAATAGATTAATTGGTAAATTAATTAATACAGACGTAAACACACCAACTTATATTTGATTTAACATATATACATACACACACACACACCCACACACACACACACACACACACACATATATATATATATATATATATATATATATATATATATATATATATATATATATATGAACCATACAAAAACTGAGGGTTCTCATATTGTTCTTTCATTTAACTTAACTGAAGAGAGATTAGGTTGGGCTAATAGTACTTTCATATTACCAGGGTTGACGCTATGCAAGAGTCTGAGAGCTCTTGTGACATAGGAATGATTTTGGCGTTGACATCTAACCTTTTCGCATGTGAGGAAATGTTTACGGTATTGCTGGACAACAGTAACCCGCGAATCTACATTTCTGTGCATGCAATCAGTCCTACTTTTGAAAGAAGCAAGGACGAATATTTTACTGTACTGATTATTTTCCGACAGGTACACAGTATTTTGGAATATGATATCCAAGATGGCTTTTGATATCTTAGGGTGGGTAGTGCGGTGTTCTAGATATCTAATATCAGTACGAATATGCATGAAATATCCGAAGTAGGAGGAATGAATCTGGGATTAAAGTTAACCGTCTGCTGAATTCCTGTCTTGCAAGAAGTGTCACGTTTCCCGTAACCTGATGGAAAAGATGCCTATTGTATCATCATTATTATTATCATTATTATTGTTATTATTTATTATTATTGCAGTTGTTATTATTATTATTGTTGTTGTTGTTTTGTTGTTGTTGTTGTTATCATTATCATTATTATTATTATTATTATTATTATTATTATTATTATTATTATTATTATTATTATTATTATTATTATTATTATTATTATTATTATTATAACTTATTGATATTATTGTTCTCGTTATTTTGTTCTTGTTATCGTTACTATTATTATCATTATTATTACTATTATCACTATTACTGTTTTAATTTATTCCATAATCATGAGGTATGCAGTGTATACCCAATTAATTACAGTCCTCTATCATTAGAAGTATGTGCTGGTATGATGAAGTCAATTTCATTTTTATTTGTTAAAGATGTGGTGCAGTACCAGGAATGCATATTTGTATTCTGATTTTCATGTTATGGAGATATTTATGTACTAAAGTAAGTGTATATATTTGTATTGCTTTCACATTTGTTTCAGTATTTCACAGACCTCTGTGTCTTTTGATGGTCTGTATCAACAGATCTTTTGCATGACAATCAGACTCTGCAAGTATCGACTGACTGCCTGGTGGTGGTTACCTAATCCTATCATATTTGAGAAGAGTACCAATGAGGCAATCCCGTGCAAGCGTGTACACCCCCTTGCATGTTTTAGCTCATGCAGTTTTACAGGTCAGTAGGTTGGAACTTACAGGGTCAGGACCGGTGGAAAAAGACAGCTGTAAATATTAACCTCCTAACATCATTGCTAGTCATTTCCCACTGCTCCTTTTAAAACATACAGATCATTATTTTTTTATAAGTATCCCTTTAATTGAATTAAAAAACGCCATTGCCGTTTTCTACGATGTGTTCATGACGTGAAGGAAAATGTTATCGTGAGGAAAACGTTTTGACGTGTTTATCTTTGGTGAGGCAACGTATTAATTTGCTTTTAGACTTATTTAAATGATTGTAAGCTTGGTTAAAACGTATGTTAGTACAAGTCAATGGGGATACTAACAACACTTTCTGTACCTATTTCTTAGGGGCGTTTGCAAATGGTTACTATTCGTGTCTCTTATGGGTTGTCTTGCAAGAGCCACTGTTGCTAATGTACTTTTCATTAATATTCTTAAGCATTACAAAACTTATTTTAGGTGTCTTTTCAGATGTCCCCTATGTAATGCATGATTCTCTGCACAATATCCAATATTGCCATAAAAGAACATAGATTTATAATAGTGATTTAAGAAAAGGTTCATCATGTATGAAATTATGAGGGTTTATGCCTACTAAAACCCCTGATAAGATTATTTCCATATGTTACAGGAGTTTACTTTGTCGTAGAAATTTGGACATTTGTTAATTTATTGCCAATGCAATATTTAATTAACCACTGAGATATAGGAAGGGAAGGAAGTGTGGCAAGGTTAGTTATTTTTGACAAATAAGTTTATTTTTCATTACACAGATAATGGTAAAGTGAATATGAGGCAGTTCTTATACACCCTCTATACTATAATAAATGTTGTAGTTTATGTAGTTTTATCTTGTCAGTATATTTAAATGCAACACAAGAGTCATGTGAAGCAGAATGTAAAATATCCTAAATTTGCAATTTGAGAAGGATAAAAGGATAATGTCAGCATATAGTTTATTACTCAGTCTATGAATAAGTATATTTTAACAATTTTATAACCATAGTTTCAGACAAAAGGTGTAAATAGAGTATACTTTAGCTACATTCTCATTTCTGATTGCTCTTAATAATTGTTGTAATGTTAGAGCAACTTTCAGATTTATTACTTTTTTATGGGTGACGAAGGGTACGACGAGAGGTTTTGACAAGGGAGTATGGGGATAAAAAAAAAAAAAAAATGGAACTTAATTGGTATATGTCAAGGATTAACAGAAAGGACAACTTTGTTACGATTCTACAACCAGTAAATTGTTTTAGTGGTGTGAGCAGCTTATGGACAAAGAAGTAATATATATTTATGATTGCAGATTTAGGATCTAAAGCTTCCTAGACAAAGAATACAGGGGTAAAATGTCCCTTCTTAACTTAATACCACTTATTGTATAAACATTCTAGTTACACCAATGAAGTGCCAGAATTGTAGTTTCATGTAGTATACAGTGGCATGGAGAGGGGGGCTTAAGTGGCGGTAAGTCCGTGCATCTAAATTGGGGGTCATCCAATCAGAGAGGGAAATAAGAAAGTGATTTCGAAATTTATATTTAAATCAAATAAAGTGTTTTTTTCATGTTTTATCTGTCTTCACATATTCGAAACATCTAGGAGATATTTAGGAGACGAAGACTGAGGCCCAAGGTAGGGAATCACCCCTACCTTGGACCGTGTGCTGAAAGATGAAAGGCTGGCTTTGTGTCAGTCCTCAATGGCCTTCATAATTTGTCTGCTATTCCCTCTTTACCCTTTGCACTACCATACTAACCTTTAGTGTTCTCTGTAGACTTTATCTAACATATTTTATCCTAATTGTTAATGTATTTTTTACCTTTTTGCCACCATACATTGTCATAATGCTGTATGACCTTTTCTTTCCCAGAGGCTTCGTCCCAAGTTTCACCTTATTACTCTATTTTGTATAGGCCACAAATTACCGTAGATGTCAGAAATTTTACAATAAATGAATGATAAAGACCTCTGCACCCCACTGGTAGTATAGACTGCCATATTATGTGAATGTTTCACCCCAAGTTGGAGTAAGATCCTTTTGCTTCCATTATTTACCTTTTTTTCCCCACCTATGTCCCATTAGGAAGTCAGAATTTTTGCAACAGAAAGTTAGAGGATTGAAGACCTTCATTGCATGAAGTAAAACAGCATTGATTAGATTTTTTAGTATTGTTATACTTATGAATTATTGCAGGATTCTCAAGAAGGCTGGAGTATGAGATAAATAGCATGGTGCTCAAAGAAGTCTCCGGTGCAGAGTCTTCACCTCAAAGTTCAACTCTGTGATTGGATATAACAGTAAGATCAAAATCCAGAACTCAAGGTAAGATGTTTTGCTTTATTATATTTGATTGCTAAGATATGATTTTGTGCTGTTGCTGCTGCCAATGATGTTGATAGAGAAATTGGAATCAAAATATTAATGTACTAAAGATAAAGATTTGAAGAAATGTATATAAAAGGTGCTATGAACAGTCTTGACTTGCAGTGTTGTAGTTTGCAATGGTAAATACAGTATTTTTATTCAGAATATATCATGAAAACAGAATTCCTAAGCCACTTTTTCGAACAGAAAATTGGAATAATTTGTCAATACCTTTTCTGAAGATAAAAGGAAGAAATCCTATATTTACTTGCAGTTTTGATTGATAATTTTTGCTCATTTGGAATAAAGTAAATCAATATGGCCGTATCTAATTGAAAACCTAGTAGTACCTTTGGAAAGGCTATAAAATTAAGTATGAAGTTTCCTAGGGGATTTTTAATCCTCTCCTCGAAAATATTCAAAATATTCCCCTGGACTACAAAAAAGACTGTGTGTGTCTTGTATTTTGTCTTTACACTTTTAACCATATCTTATTACTCTTGAGAAAACTAAAATAGATTTTGAAAATCTCTGGCATGATTTATTGCATTTATTAATCCATATTTCTCCTCATGAGGTGTTTTGCCTTTTTGCATTCTTATTTGGGATCAGGCTGTTAAAAGAAGACAATATAACCATGTTCTAGACAAGAAGATAATGCAATATCATTCAAGAATCTCTCTTATTCTGAAAGCAGTTTGAAATTTAAAAATGAATGTTTTGGACATTTGGGTTTTTAATTGTGTCAGATGATTGATATAACCTGCATATTTAATTTTAAAAGATTAGATGTATTCTTCAGTTCGTATGTAGACTATGCATTAAGGGGACCGTTCCGGGAAAAGACCACCTTTCCCTACTCATTTCATCATAAAAAAAAATTGGTTGGAGATAACTCATTGATTCTTTTTACATAACATAGAGTATAGAATTGCGTTTCATATATAATTTTTTGATCTCACATCCCCATGGGGTACATAATGTGGTCCACAGTTTTTTCCTGAACAATCCACAAAAAATTCATGTGTTAGATCTATCATAGCCTAAGGCTGTGTAATAGTCCAATTTTTTTATTTCCTTTTTTTTTTGGCGGTGGACTGGTTGACATTTTTTGACATTTTACCATAGAGACAACTAATCTAAACCAGATAAGAACCATTTCTTTATTTTTTATTTTTTTTATTTTTTATTATTATTATTTTTTTTTTTTTTTTTCGATTTTGAAAAAATGGAGAATTGTGGATGGTAATATCAGTACAAAATATCCAAGTTATAAAGTCCTAGCATGAATACTACATGGTGATTTGGTGTTTCTAATTTTTGAGGAGTGTCATATGTTTGTAAACACACACATAAAGCTAAAACAAAAATTAATCATCCTTATTTAGTAGGCGTACATTCACTCTTATGTCTAAAGGAATAAAATATATTAGTTACCCTACAAACCGTTTTCTTTGATGATTGTCAATATTAGCAGATTGCAAAGGGAAACGAGTGTAGAACTGTTGAATAGCCATTTGCACCCATTGTCTTTAATAAGAAGTGCATAAAATCATGCAGACGCCTAGGTGTGGTGGGATATTTGCAAATTTATGGTACCTAAAACCTACGGTAACGTCTAAACGTATTATTTTTTATCGGAAACACATGGAACAGATGTGATAGGTCTTTCAAGTCTAGACGAAGACTGCACACAAAATCGAGATCAAAATTCCATATAGTTTTTATTTGAGCGGGTATTACTGAGTACTATCATCTTCAATATGAAATAATCAGTATCTCGCTTATACATCCGAAGTTCAAAAATCTGATTATTTGGTGACCTTCGTAGTGAAGTCCTTTTCACACTGTTAATGACCAATTTCAAATCAAATCAAATTTACCAATGCCATAATGTACCGACCATTGAGCGAAATGTAACAGAAATATTTCAATCCTTACTTATAACACTATGTTCAAAATCAATGCTTGATAGAAGCATATTTCATGTATAAAAGGACACAAAACTTACATTAATTTTTATATATATTTCACAAAATATTTCATCATAAATCACGGTGATATAATTTTTTTCTGATATTTGTATAAAAGTGTTCCTTGAACATTCATGAACTCATATCTATGCACAATGTCATAATCAAATGCAGTATGCACAATTGCAGCAAGCAGAAGTCCACATAGGTGTACTTGGGCGCTCATTAGGGACGCATCTTCCCAGGTGTTCAGCGGGTCTTGCATCGGCTGCAGGACAACGAGCCATAGCAGGCGTTTAATATTCATTTAGTAGTTTCCTCATCCATGTGCCTATACTATGCGCTAGCTAACTCAATTGGACCCCATGTCCCCCTTAACTCATTGGTCATAGATGATGGATGATATCACATCAAATCTGAAGTCTTTGCCGTGATTGTTAGGATGAGGTCTTATGCAAACTACCAAGATTTAGATATTCCTCCAGATGTAGAGAGGCATGTGCAGTGGAGTGGGCATCCTTGCACAACTTTACCAAAAATACTTCCCCTTGTTATTGGGTTGAACCCAGTATCATTTGTAGAGCTGCTGAGCTGCAATCTCCCGATGCTCACTGCCAGGTGTATGATTCCATCGTCCTCATTGGAGAATATTATGTTGCTAACAAATAAGTCAAAATGAAAAGTCTTCTTATGTTATTTTCAGTATGTTTATTACAGAATTATAAAGTTTTCATCAAAACAAGCTATATGTAGAAATTTCATGAAGTACCATACTGTAGGGATTATTAGTGCTCTATACAGTGATGATGAGCTGCATTCAATACAGCCCAGTCCCTCACAGTCAGTCCTGTGATGTGCAGGCCTACGATGCATATAAGTGAATGCTTATATATTCTTTTTGTTTGATTATATTTGCATTTTATTATATTTCTCTTAATGATTTCTTTTAATTGTTATCAGTTTACTGTTGTGTGAAGCTTTCAGTGACACAGTCCCATAATTCTATTTTCCATAAGCTGCCTCTGGTTAACATAATCAGGAGATTTTCTTTCATTGTTATTAATGAGAGTTTAGAAGTGTTATATTTCATTATGTACTTGTTAGAACTTGTTTATAAAAGTTTGCGTATATATGTCGTATTGACCACAAAGTTATAAAGAAATTGGTAAAACAGTTAAGCATAAAAGAAATCATGGGTAGATGCTCCACATTATGTGCTATTATACCTTTGTAAGTCATGTCTGTATTATTATTATTATTTTTTTTAACTAATATCAGATTTGTTTTCTTTCAGATGCCAGCACATATGGTGACAGAAAGCCTCCTTGAACTGTCATTAAATGCAGTTTGTGGTAATATAAAAGAATTGATTATGATTGGTAACCGTTTAGTGGACTCTGCAGATGATATATTAACAGAAACTGAGAGTGAAGTTGATGAAGTTCTTCAAAAGTCAAAAGATATGCCATTTTATCTTGTAGGACATGCAATGAAAATGAATGAGCTGAAAGATGCTCTTGACAAACAGGGAGATTTTCAGGGTACCATAACAGAATACATTCAGACTCTTCCCCCTGTATTTCTTAATGAAATATTCAACAGATTGCTCAGAGATTTAACTTTAATTCATGTTGATGAACTTGAGATAGAGGAGTTTCTTAAGGACAGATGGTCATGCATAAACAGAATAAGATATCGTTTTCACTTGATTCTTAAAAGTATGTTCAGATCAAAAGTGTCTGTAATGAATCTAAGTCCCATTTCAAATTATTTGTTTAGAGCCTTAGGTGAGTACCTTATTGATAATGAAGATTTCATGGATGATAAGACTCTAGAATTAGTAGAAGAAAAGAGTCAGTGTGTTTTCCTTCCTGCATTAAAAAATTGTGAGCCCTTTCTTGACAATCTAACAACACTAAGCCTTCAGAATATGGCTAATGGACCTTTGATATGGATGATTAGCTCAAATTGTTTAAAATTATGGCATTTAGATATCAGTGGAGATCTCTTTGATCTACGGCGTTATTACGTAACTAAAACTAATGATGAAGATTGCGGAGCTGTAGACAAATATGGGAAGAGACTATATGAGAAGGCAGAGTTTCTAAACTCTCTCTGTTCTCTTTATGGGAATGATGATCGGTATCATGATACATATGGAAGGGTTGAAGGCTGTTATGTGCTTAAATCCCTAAAGTTACCAAATGTTAAGTGGGAAAGAGAAGAAGAAATACAGTTACTTTGTGAATCCTTCAAGCTCTTGCAACAGTTACCAGAGCTTGAAGAATTGGAGGGAGTCGACTTACTTCATACCATGAGTAAGCTAAATCAGTTACCTTACCCACCAGTCATGCTGAAATTAAAGAAGTTCTCTAACAAACCAGGGAGTACTGTATTTAAAGTGGAGCCAAACCAACTGAAGAATGTGCATTTGCCACTAATTAAAGAAGTAGAATTTGTGATCAGCCCATCTGTACCACTTGCAACAATTGAGATATTTCCTAACATGAGGCATCTCAATCTCACTTCTTACAAAGATAATAGCTCCTCCTTTAATGACATTACACAGTATCTGACAAACCTGCAATCATTAACCATGGAAGTAATGCATGAGTTGTCAATTAAAGATCTCTGTGAGCTTGCAGAGCATTGCCCTTATTTAGAATCGCTGAAATTAACTTGTCCTGCTTTGAAAAATGCACTGCAAGAATTCGATGTAGACACTGAAGAAGACAAGACTGAAGAAGATTCCCATTCACCAAGAGCCAATATTGATCAATCACAAGGAGATACATATGAATGCGAAGAACCATCTGATATCCTGAAAATTTTTCGCACTTATTGTAATAAACTTATAAACATCATAAATTCTTTAGAGGATAATGATGTGTATGTGCCAAAGCTGTTAAATTTAGATGCCCTTCAATTATATGGCATGCAGTCTGTTGATGCAGCAGCATTATCTAAGTGTGTGAAGGGGTGCCCTAATCTCAGTACCTTAGAAATCGGTATTAAAGGAAAGGATGCTAATTGTAATATAGAATTTGATGATAATCTTATAGGGCGAGTAGTTTGTAGATTAAAGAATCTTGAAAAATTTAATCTCTTTGCAGACTCAGGTTTTGGGCAAACCTTTGTATTTAAAGGTATAACTGGGATGTCAGTTGGGTATATTTTAAACTTCTGCAGAAATATGTGTTCCATAGGCACATTAGTAAATTGGAATGTATCTGTTGATGAAGTAAAATCTTTGAATGATTATTTCAAGACAAATAATTTTGTCTTAAGACTAGAATAAAATTCACACTTATGTTTTATACCAAGACTATATTTTCATATAAAGAGAATGATATCTTTCATTTTTTTTATATAAATTTTGTTACATATCATGAAGTACAAATTAACATTCTTGGGACCATTTCCAGTAATAACTAGAAGCATTATAGGAAATTTGTGATTCTACACATAATAGAATATTGCTAATGGCCGTAGATGTTCTTGTGTGGGTGGGTGGGTAGGTTGGTGGGTGTAGGTGTAGCCTTTGATCTGTTATGCAGGATGTGACAAATACTGTTTATTAATGATGATTAAAGTTATAGCCTTATCCATGGGCTCCTTAAGTGGCAGGTTAAGGAATGCGACTCATTTATTGGATAAATAAATTTTTTCATTTGAAATTGTTGCTGCAGAGCAACAAAGTACAATTTTCACCATAAAGAAACATTTCAATAATAAATTTTCCATTCACATATTCACCTTTTGTACCTTTATAAACAAACAAGTTTTGGAAATTAATAATCATCTCTTAACAGAATGATAGCTGGACATATCACTCCTCAATAATTGTGGCTGTCTCTCAAGACTTTTAATTAATTTTAAAGCCACACCTTTATATGGTCCCACAAAATTGCAGCTTCTACCAGAAAATGAACCAGACCACATCTCTAAACCTGTCATTGATATCTCTATACTTCTTGCAGAACTGATTTTTTTTTATCCTTTGCATGCACAAGTTATCAAGGGTTTATTTCTTCATAAGGTTTGCTTTATGAATTAATTCATTAAAATATCATAAACAAAATTACATAAACAATTGAATCAAATATAAATAGATTTCAATTTTAAAATGACAGTGCATCTTGTGAAAGTATTTTAGAACAGTATTCAAACTTATTAACATAGATTGTTATAATGCTAACAGGTACACTTAACTAAAGATATGGTACATCTCTTGAAGCTATGAATATATATATGTGCTGAAGCATTTTCAGGTGCTGAGGGAATTGTTGTCTTGAGTTTTCATGCTTTTATTGTGCACTATGTGATATGTTGTGATAATATATAGTCACCTACTTTGATGAATCCTTATATGCTTCTTGGTGTCTTAGTGTGCATAGGTGAATTCCATCTCTAATTTTCAGCTACAGGTCTCTAAACATCGGTCAACCCATACTTAAAAGTTTTTAGTGACACTATTGGAATTGGAAGTGTTCATTTACATCAGAATTAAGGATAATAGATGCCTCTGTTATGTAACTGTATCAATAACAGAATATGAAGGCTAAAGTCTCATAGATACTACAGAGATAGATATATTATTGCTAGGCATTAGCATTGTACCAAAGATATTAATGAATATATTAATATGTACTTATGATTTCATCATTTTTGTGTTGTAACAAGTACAAATTAATATTAAACAAATGATATCCAAACACAGATCACTTGAGCTTTATGTCCCATTTTATTTTGTAATTGATAAAACTAAATCAACCATTTTCAGAGAGAGGTTAAAATTCCTGAGAGCAGCCACTCAACAGGTGGCAGTGTCAGTCATATTATCCCATTAATGAGACAATTTGGTGTTATATACTGTGTACAAATATCAAATGATTATATTATTGGCAGCAGAAACATCTAAATATCCTATGATATATTTTCAGTAGCAGATGATTGGATTTCAGTCAGTTTATGAAATTGCATACAGTCAGTTTATAAAACTTTACTATGAGTTTTATTGGAGTATATGGTGCACATACATTATTTTGTGGACAGTAGGCCTAATTAACAGATAATTTATTCTATGGAAGTGACTTGGACAGTACTTTGAAGGTTACATCTTTGCCAAAGTCAATTGAGGACAGCGAATTGATACCTGATGACATTACATGCATGACTTATGTGAAGACATATGCTTTTGAATTTATATAGAATATTACTAAATAGCTTGGAGGATCAGAGTTTAATGTAGGTCTCAGGTTTAGAATTATATTTTACATTTTATTTTTACCATCTATCAAGAAGATTGTGTTCATTTGAGCAAAATAATAGCATTAGCTCTAATATCCAGTATAATGATAATATTAGTATCCAGTGATATTGATAATGATAAAAATGATCAAAAGAGATTATTGTTATTCTTATAAAGAATCATTGAAGTAAGATTAACAAGAGGACTAATGGTGCATACAATGATAACCACAGTAATACTAAATAATGATAAATCAAGTGCACTCCAAGGCAAAAAGGAAGTACCGTACAGCACTTCCTAAATATTAGCCTGGATCAAGGAGGCAAAGGCCCAGATTGAAAACATAGACAGTGGCATACTTGTATCTTTGTCCTACATTGAACAGGTAGCAAAGATATTGGGTATTACAAAATGTTTAGTTGATACACACACAAACAAAATGTTTAGTTGATACACACACAAAAAAAAGCATTAGTCCAAAACTGTTTTATACACCCAAAGACAGTTTTCACTCTGGGTTATTCAGATTAAAGTATATTTCAGAAATAGACCGACAAGACTAAGCACTACATACTCAAAGAAAAAATTGATTCCTCTTATATATATACAATTCTATAAATATACTTCATTTGTTTTGAAGATATAAATCATATTATCTGGAAAGAAGACACTATTAAATGCTAAAATTATATGGCAGCATTTTCTTTAAGCAATGTACTAAAAACAGTCTTTATTTTTTCTTGCCTCTACAGGGCAAATCCACATGCAGTATGGCTACAAATGCCTCACGTATTCAGTTTAATGAGGTGTCAGTTGGTTTCCCTAAAACGACTTTGGCTATGATGCCACTTCCACAATCAAGTGTCCCCATTACTTTTTGTCTGCTCAATTTTGTAACTTGGACATATGCTGTACATACACAGGATAAAATCTTTGAACCAAGATAAGTTACTCGTACAAACTAGTTTACTACTTATTGTGCTCCATGCTTGGTCTTGATTGTGTCTGTTTAGTTTATATTTGCTACAAAACAAAGAAATTATGATGAATACGTTGTATTTGTGAAAAATAATATCAGCCTTGACCTCCTGGATACTTATCCATTTTATCCCTCCCAATACCTTGCTCAGATTAGGAGAGAGAGCCCAGTGTAGAGATTGCCCCTACCTTGGGCTTCAGCCCTTGCCTCAACTAATTTTGCTTGGTCTTTTCTTCTCGTCCTTTCCTCTTCTGTATCTCCTTCATCCTCTTCTTTTGTTCCATTCCTAAGGTGTGAGAACTGTACTGAAAGGATGAAAGGCTGGCTTTATGAATTAGATTTTGATTCTTTTCAGATACCTGCCCCTCCTTTGACTATGGCTCCAACCACTGATACTAATAACCCCTCCTTGACGTTTACTGACAACTCTATCCATTCCAAACCACCCACCCAGGTCATTACTCAACCTCCAGAGTACATCCCTTCCTCTCTTCCAACATTCTCTTCTCCATCTCTACTGCACATTCTTCTTCAATGGCTACCCTGCTTTCCTTATTACTACTCTTCTTCCTTATTGTCCTCCCTCCCACTGAACTATTTCACTCCACAGCACCCCCTCTTCCTCCTCTTCCCTCCTCCTCCTTTTTCCTCATCCTCTGGAAACCTTTTAAGTACTCTCTTTGGCCCAGCCAAATGTGATCGATTCTTTGTGATCCACCACCCCCACCCCAATGCCCTTTACTCTGAGAATACCCTTCTCTTTCAACAGTGCCTCCAGAAACACGTAGGCAAAGTTACCTTTCACAGTCGTTCCAATTGTTCACATCTTGTCACAGAATCCCAAGCTCATGCACTGTCTACCCTAACTGACCTTACTTGCAAACCCATTCCTGCTGAACCTCACCTCTCTCTTAATACCTGAACTGGAACTGTTTCTATCCCCCTACAGGTACATGTAAGTCAACATTGTCCCATGTCCAAGATTCCATAGACATGATCTCCCCCATGAAATTGATACTGGTAGATTGTCCTACCGTGTCCGACCATATCAACCCCTTCTCCATCAATGTCGGAAATATTGGCATTTTGGCCACCCTGCCAAACGCTGTCGTTCAACAGCCCATTGCCCTCAATGTGCCCAAGCTGGTCATGACCGTTCAGATTGCCCTGCTCAGTCAGGTACATGTGCTAACACTGGTGACTCCCATAAAGTATTTTATAAGAGCTTCCCTGCCTGTAAGCTTGAATGTAAGGTAGCAGTTCTTAAATTCAAACCATGCCTCACTCTACATGAGGCTAGACAGGAAGAATGACAATGAGTTTTTTTTCTCTCTGCCTACATCTCTGCAAGATGTTTCTGCATCTCCCCTAGTATCTCTTCCCTCTACCCTGAACCATCCTACCTCTACTCTCCCTATCCCACAGTCAAATCCCTTTTCCATTCTAAAGCCAGATACTCCAGTCTCTACCACATCTCCAATACCTATCCTTCCTCCCCTTCACTGTACATGTCGCACCAGACAACCTAAACATTCTACTCCATCTTCACCTTCCACACCCTCTCCTACACCCTTCTTTTCTTCTGCTCCTCGAACATCTATTCCCTCTTCTCCTCCTCTAAAGAGAGCCTTTGTTTCTCAGACCTCCCTTTTCACATCCCCTCCAGAAACTCTTGAAGACATCAAAAATTTCCTAGACAGGACCCAAGAAAATGTTCTGCTCCCTCATTCACCCTCCAGTCCCTCTACATTCAAAGTATTTGCTGATATCAATCCTTCCCCACAAGTTCCCTCTACCCCTCTTCCTCCTACTCTTTCCCAACAAACCCCATTCTCTCCTCCATGTGCACCATTCCCTTTTCATTCTCCATTATCCTTACCTCTCTTGCCTGAATACTCTCCTGCCTGGGTACTCCTACCTGGATACTCCTACCTGGATACTCCTGATTCCTCTCCTCCTGATACTCTTCCTGATACTTCACCTCCTTCCCCATTCCCCTTATCTCATCCCCCAGACTCTTCTGCTTCTTCTCCAACAGCCACCTCTACCCATATTTTCTGTTGATTCTTTCATAACAGCTCGTTATCCAGTTCTTCCTTCAAGCAATGTTACTATAGCTTCTCGAACATACCCCATTCCATCCAATGGCCCTGTCCTCTGAACTCTTTCCTTTATTAATCTCTGATTTACTTCATTTGCACCCCCTCTTTACCCATTTTCCCTATCATACTATCGTATACTATAACCTTTGACATTTAACACTCTTTAACACACTAATCGTTAACTCATTTACCATTTTCACCACAATACTTTACTATAGTACTATATGACCTTAGATGTCTAGCACATTTATTTGTTTCAATCATTAACCATCATCCATTTTATAGTATCCTCTCTACAATGCTTGTTGAACTTTTTGTGTTCCTAATGTTTAAC